GGGTCTGTGTTGTTTGGGTGATGTGGGTTGGTGGGTGGGCAGGTGGGTTGTTGAAGTGGGGGCGTTGGGTAGGATAGGTTTATTTCGGTATATCGGGGGGGGTCAGTAGCGCTCGGATGCGGTGGCTATGTAGAGGGGGTTGTTGAGGTGGGTGGGTAAAATGTTATACCACTCCTTTGTTATGCGAATGTGACCCACCGTGGTCTATTTTTTGTTTTTGTTTTTGGTTTTATTATGTTTCCATTACGAAAACTTTATGTTCATATCTGAATGTACAGGAATTGAGCCTTCCACTCCAAAACTCCTCTAGGATACGACACACGTGCGTGACAAAGTGAGGGCTGCCTAGTACATCTGATGCGCAGCCGGAGCGACGCGTTAGCAACCCTCGCGTAGTTTGAGGTAATAAAACTCGCCCTAGCTCGCCGAAAGTACGCACTTCCGAGGCTTCCTACAGATAATGGCTCCCCATGCAAAAATAAAATTATTTAGGCACGCACGGCGAACTTCCTTCGCGTGATTGTAGTAATTTGTTCAACGAACCACACTTTGTATACCATTTTTGATAGAAGTTACAATTTGCAGACTCACTCTGCCAGAAGTGTACTGGGTGGTTAATGTATAGACGAATGGCGAGAAAGAAATTGTCACATGAGAGTCACAGAATACGGATAGCTAAGAGAATTCCTACCGTGAACCCATTGTTCTATCACAAATTTCTCACGGATCGACGGGGATTTGAACCCCGATACTTGGAGACGGAGAATTGTGCTCTGATAGCTACACTATGAATTGCGGCTACCCCGCTTACTTTTTTACGAGCTTGCAGGGCCGAACACGCTCCTTCCTTAGGACAAATGGAGGGCGATAGCGCCTTCTTTCTTCCGCTCGTAAATATTTCGAAAGAAATGCTGGGGTGAAATACATTAAAAAGGTCCTGAAATTGCTTTTTATTTTGTATAAGAGTGTCTGCTTCTACTGAGATGCAAGAAGTAATCAATAAAAAATCTAGTTTAACATCAAAACAAGCAACTTTCAAACCGAAACTTTTAATAAAATGTAATGTTTTTCATATTATTCAAAATAATTTTTAATTATAGTTGCACAATCCAGCAACAATAATACTTACGCTACTAAGACAGATGATATGATTTTTATGTACATAATTTTCAATGCAGGAGTTTCTGAAATAAGTTTTACTATGTTACTAATAATGTTTTTTTTGTTTCAGGTAAGTCGCTGTGAATTCATCGCTGTTATTTCCTCAAAGTGAGTACAAAAAATATTGTGTGATATTCAATAATGCGTTGACAATTATCACAACGTCAATGCATTCTCTAATACAACTTATCCTCCCCCAATCCCTTGTATATCTCTCTCCCAACCTCGGTCGAAATCCTCATTCCGAATGCGAGCAACAAACTTATCCTGCAGCCTCTCTGAGCCCTTCGTACACGATACTTTGTCGGTAGTCTGCAATTCAGGGACTTTATTTGCCGGCCCATTTACTTTTGAAATCGCGCGGAATAAAATGCATGACTCAGAGATTTTGCTGAGAAATAGTTGGAAAAGTAAAACATACCTTTCTCTAAAATAATGTTAGACGTGCCTTTTCAGGTTTTGAAGACACTAAACACATTGGTGAAATATACTCGTAATATAATGACTAATAGTAGCTCTTTCTATAGCTGGTTGAAAACTATTGAACTGTCTTCACAGGTGAATATTTTACGTTTTGGTTTTAGTCCTAACGATGTTTTACAACCTGTCATTAGATTTTGTACAATATACTTTTAGCGTATGAATCTACTTAATAAAGAAGTATATAATCAAAACATTTTTCCATAAAAGGCATATATTTTCCAGTGTTTCATAAAAACTAAGTAGTCTTGGACAGGGATGGTTCAGTCTTATGGGATACTTTAGGGATACGTACACCATTACAATACCTCCCCCCTGCAGCCTCTCGATTCGTGAGTGAACCGATGCTCTTGCAACGGGGTGGTTGTGACGTTGTGACGTAGCGCCATTTCTCACCGTGTCGCGTTCGATCCAACCCACAAAAAGTGCCTCATCGGCTCCGGTCGCATTACGTCGCACGCTGGCCGGAGAGCGGCGCGCGCGAGTGTGGGAGGGCGGCGAGGTCAGCGGGCGAGTCTATGCGCAGCAGAGCGTCCTCCCGTCCGCCCTTGATGCGCTGGGCCGTTCATAACCCCAGCCAGCCCTGCCGCCGCCCGCCGCCCGTCTGTGTGGTGCGCCTTCGACCGCCCTGCACCGGCGCTTCCGAGCCACTGGGCGGCAGGGCGCCCGCCCCGCGCCCCGAGCCCCGCGCCCGCGCCAGCGCCCCGCTCGGCGATGCCAGCCACGCAAACGCGAATTACGCCTCTCCATCCTTCCTCTTCATCCTCTCCAACCCTCTTTCCGTACCCGACACATCCCATCCTCCACAGCTACTCTCCTCCTCTACTTTTTAAATCTTCCTAATTTGCACCCTTTACATCCCGTGCTCTGCGCTCCACCATCTCCTCTACACCTTAAACATTACCCCCTCTTCGCCTTTTACTCCCCCTCTCTTCACCCTGCGCATCCCTTCATCTACACCCCTCTGCATCCCTTGTTTAGACCTACATATCTCCTCTGCACCCTACACATCCTCTCCTTTACACTTTATATATATCCCCCTCCTCTACACCGCGTCCACCCCCTCATTTGCAATCTGTGCGTCTCCTCATCTCTACCCCTGTACATTCCCTCCTCTAGACTCCTCTTCATTTTAAATATTCCCGCCTCTTCACCTTTTACCGCCCCTTCTCTCCATCTACCCTCGATTTTCTCCTCCACGACCCTGTTCTCTCACATTATTGTCTTATCCTGTCCTCTGCCTTCACAAATTGTCCCAATTTTATTTTATCTCTTCCTCTGACATTCTCCCACGCCCTCCCCTCTTCTGATTCTCACCTACCCTCCTGTTCCTTCCAGGTTTCGGTTCTCCACACCCTCTCCGCCCGAACGAGCTACTCCTTCCCCCTTCGTAGGCAACCTCTCGTGTCGCCCCGCTCTGCCTGCTTCGCGTGGCCCTGCCCTTCGCGTCTTGACCCTCCACGGCTGGCCTCGCGGCCCCTCTGCCGCACGCGCTGCGCTCAAGGCCCTTGCGATCTCTCACTGCGCACCTGAGCGTCGCACTGTTTCCACCGAAGCGCCGCTACTGCACGGGTCTTACCCTCGCGTCGGATTTCTTCCACACATCGCATTACCATTCAACATCATTAAAACAGTTCTCGAAAGTGATGACAAAAAGCGAGTATAAAGAAACGTTCAGAAGTTTAGGCCTCAAAACCAGCACGGAACGTTTATGTGTACAAATTACATTTAAAGACAATTATTAGTAAAATATTTTATGAACGAACAACATTTTGTAAACACAGTTCGTTAGTATCTACACACTTATTTAAACTTAAACATTACTACATTTCATCTATTTTTTGCAATATTCGTCAGCTATTGTATAAGAGCTAGTTTAATGAAAATGATAAAAGATGAGTTGATGTGCACATAAAAGAAGGGCTGTCGTGCTTTATACTGAATTGATAAGATTGAAGACAGATATTTGTTACTAGCAATACACACGACTTTAATCCTACATTTCTGATCTCATGATGGGCTGAATCCAAAATTCTTCATTCTCCATGAATTGTTTATTCCCTCCAAGAAATTGCTAGGAATTCTTCGCCGAGCCATCAGAGTCCATTGCAAGCAAGTTGCGGGAGGATTACCATCTAATATAGTGGAAGTAAGTTGTATTTTTGTTTCACGTCATTATTTATAAATACTTTTTACTGGGACAGTGAAATACCAATACATTCTTAAAATTGTGAGTTTCGAGAATTCAGTTTTTCATGCATTTGATCCAACAATTATCTATATCTCACATCTACATTTTACGGTATTTGTTATATCAATTTGTTAACACAATTTCAAATATTAAATTTAGTCGCTAGGCGTCTGAATGTAAATTAAAATAGTGTAGAACAGAAGTGCTCTCCATTAGATCGGGCTGACGCCGGCTTGAGCGTATGCAGTTGTGAGGTGAAGCTTCGGAGATTGTAGGTGGGGGCCGACGAAGTTGGACAATCCCGTCCGCGAAGCCTGAGTGGGATTCCGTGAAGGCGGCGGCGCTGATTGGTCGTTTCCGAGATGTCCTCCCGTCCATTCCAGTCGGAGGCGGGGCTATACGATCTTTAGAGGGGCAACGAAGTGCCCGAGATCCTCCCTTCCATATCCTGCCTCCTCTCCCAACCTTAGGGAAGAGCGATCATTCTTGAAGACGAACTTTGCCGCTTCTGTATCCGGTCCCTTTTTCTCGCCATACCACCCCTCACTCAACCTAGGATTTTCCCTGCTATTTTCTAAATAATGAAGTGTTCATCTTATCTCTGTCCGCATCTCATAAAAATGTATATGGGCCACATTGATAACCTTTCAGCTCTCGTAGATTCGTGCTTGCTCTTTGTCGCAAAGTCTAACAACGTACTCACATGTCCCCACATCCTCCTCTCACATATGTGCAGTGGCGACTCTTAGTCTCTCAATTTCTGATTTTTCTTCATTTGTTTCCTTCTTAGTAGTCTTGTATTACTGCTACAAATATACATTTTCAGAGTTTTCTCGTACCCAACCTCCATATTTATCTCTTTCTTCCTCTTTTATATTATCCTACTAGACAATACCTTCCCTTAGAAAGCAGACGAATGCGTGAATGATGAGTAGTACACACAAGCGTTGTAATAAAAGAGTTCTAAGGAAGCGTAGAAGATTTAGAAAACGAGTCCTTCCACTGGCAGATCCTTCGTAAGAGTATTGAATTGAATTGAATTGAATTGAATTTGCCTTATTTTACGTGGCGAGAGTAGGCAAACGCGCGCCTTTCGAAGCCCCGTTTGGTTTCGTCGTGTGTTCGCTGCCCTGTCCATCGGCCACTTCCGCCGGCTCATCGCGCTCAGTCATCCGAAGGCGGCCTGAGGATGAGGCAAAGGAGGCAGCGATGAGCAGCGCCTGAGGATGAGGGGCGGCAGCGGATGAGGCAAAGGAGGCAGTGCTGAGGATGAGGGCGGCAGCGGATGAGGCAAAGGAGCAGCGCTGAGGATGACGGGCGGCAGCGGATGAGGCAAAGGAGGCAGCGGCTGAGGATGAGGGGCGGGCAGCGGATGAGGCAAAGGAGGCAGCGCTGAGGATGAGGGCGCACGCGCATGATGAGGCAAAGGAGGCAGTGCTGAGGATGAGGGGCCGGCAGCGGTGAGCCAAAGGAGTGCAGGCGCTTGAGGATGAGACGGCGGCAGCGGATGAGGCAAAGGAGGCAGCGCTGAGGATGACGGGCGCAGCGATGAGGCACAAAGGAGGCTGCGCTGAGGATGAGGGGGGGGGCGCAGCGGATGAGGCAAAGGAGGCCAGTGCTGAGGATGAGGGGCGGGCAGCGGATGAGGCAAAGGAGGCAGTGCTGAGGATGAAGGGGCGGCAGCGATGAGGCAAAGGAGGCAGCGCTGGAGGATGAGGCGGCAGCGGATGAGGCAGCGAAGGAGGCAGCGCTGAGGATGAGGGGCGGGCAGCGGATGAGGCAAAGGAGGCAGCGCTGAGGATGAGCGGGCGGCAGCGGATGGGCATAAGGAGGCAGTGCTGAGGATGAGGCGGCAGCGCGATGAGGCAAAGGAGGCAGCGCTAGGATGAGGGCGGCAGCGAGCATCGAGCCAAAGGAGGCAGCGCTGAGGATGAGGGGCGGGCAGCGGATGAGGCCCCCGCCACGTGGGGCGGCCGGCGCGAGACAAGATCGAAGCGTGTGGCGATCCGTTGGAGATCAGTGTGCGCTCTGGTGGGGGGGGGGCGAACAAAGGGCGTGCGAGCTGGGCAGAGGGCGGGGAGACTAACTCCCGCTTGGGTCTAATCCAACTGGGACTGCGGCACCGGAGTGCTGTAGGTAGTGAGAACGACTTGAGAGGACGGAGCTCGCTGCGTTATGTGCCCCCCACATTACAATTCAATTCAATTACCAGACCTGCTGTTCCCTCTGACCATGCAAATTCTGCCACGCCCCTTCCACCATCTAGAGTAAAAATGAAACTATCTCTCAGGAGATGAAACAGGCGCTTTAAATTTAGCTTATATGCTTATTTTAGGCTAGACGATTTTTTAACATGCAGTAAATCTACTACATGGAAAAGTAGGCTTTATTTCCCCTTCGAAGGAAGGCATTCGAAACATTCTTTCGCCTTTAAAAATCAACGGCTTCGATCGGGGTTAAACTCGTGAAATTGGCTGTAACAGTCTGATATGTTAACCGCCACACCATCCAAGCCATTACAGGTGGTAGTTCTTGTCGTGGGGAGTATTTTTTTCCCTACCTTTACATTTCTTCGTGAAAACGTTTTCCAATCTCCGCCGGAGGTAATTATCAGGTAAATACTGGAAGTCAATCGCTTTGCCTGTATAATGGTACATTCTAATGGCATCCCCAAAACGGCACTCGCAACAGCACTAAGGCGCTTCCGAAAGCGCCTCCTGGGTCTTCTCGATCATTTCTTGGGCTTCATCGGTTTACTAAAAATTTATCGAAGCACGTGAGTGAGAATTAACTGTTTCCGAGCGCGTTAACTACTATGGTCATTATTCCCGTAAGATTAGGGCATGCTATAACTAGAAAGGTGTCCATGTGCTGGAATCTGAGATTCGGCGCCAACCAACACATGGGATTTTTAATTTTCCCTCTCCAGGTATCTCCCCCAGCGAGGGAACCGCCACAGCCAGGATAATCGCTAACCTCACGATTGGCCTCCTGCTGTGCGGCAGTGTAGAGCATTAAGAGTGTGTGTGTGTTTAAGAGGAGAGGAAGAGCCAAAGACGACGCTGCTTGTTTCCATTGCTACACCTCCCAGAATGACCTCCCGGTTGAATTTAGGTGGGCTAAAAACAACCACAGCGTTGTGCCTCCGTGCACCCTGCGAGAGGGCCGGGAAGGAACGAGGCACCGGAAAACACAGGGCACGGTTCTTGCGACAGACACTTCTGCCAGGAAACAAAAAAGCACAATCAACCGCGTGCATGCGTGTAATAGTAACAGTGACACGGCAATAACGTCATAGTCTTACAATGTGGTGGGGTGACAGGGAGGCCCAGAGCAAGCATGGTGAATGTGATAGTGAGAAAACACAATTATAAACAGTATTTGTAATGACTGTGAACTACACTAGTGTAATGTCTATACTGTCTATAAATTAGGAATAATAACAATGGCATTAAGTAAATTGTTTAGGAAATACTAGAGTTTAAGTTGGAACACAAGCAAAGTAATGTAAATAATAAGTGCAAAATAAATTATACAACACATATCGACATCATTTTTCGCATGATAAATAGTGACATTTAAACGAAAATACGTCATAGCATATTGGAATTTTTACATAGTGTATACAATGTGCGATGTTGTTACCTTTACATATTTTTATAATACTTAATTTATGGAGTATCCCGTTATAAATTCTTTTTAGTAAATAACTAAGTTTCTTCTGTCGTAATTTATTTCCTCCTGGTGAATGTATATGATTGTTAGGGTTTTTAAATACCTTTACCAGAACGTTTAGGAAGGATCGCATTGTAGAAATATCCACAATTGTTTTCATTTTTGTGTTTAAATGTATTTTTTCATCAACGATAATCAAGAATTAAATTAGTGATAATATTAATTTACAATATGAGAGTTATATTGATATCATATTAACATGACCTGTATTTGTTTTTTTTTCAAAATCGTGATCTGATACGTACATTTTAATATCCTAATGTTTCTAAAGTAGTAAAATATGTGAACAAGGGGATGACGGGAAGGCAAAAACGAAATTATAAAATAATTATGTTAAATGTAACGCTTCTCTACGTGCGAACAGTTAGTCGTACAAAACGCGTGGAAAACACCTCATTTACCCGGAATAGGAGGAACCGTAAAGAAAACCACTTACACAGGTGGAAACGGAAACAGCAGTCACCTCTTTTTATCAGAGATTAAGCGATCACGCCAAATCAAATGCGTGTAAGACGTGATAAAAGATAATTGTTTAATCAACACGATTTTCCACTTAACGAAGGCTTTTGACCAGTGGTCTATTTCCACAAATTTACTTCACTAATACAACACAAAAGAAGAGCTTATTTTAACACTTAAAAAATACAGTTTTATATAACATTATAAAAACAACAGTATAATGCTCTTATAACTATTTGATCCAGAGAACATTATAACACAACCGTCAAGTAACATCCAACACTAAATATAACGTTACGAACTGCTCAAATATCTCAATAGGAACAAATTGTTTACCTTCTTGAGGAATACATGCTACTGAAGAAAAATTCGAAGTGTGTAAACATCTTTTTATTAACTGGAAAGAACAATATTTACATCCTCTTTTACACATTTCAGTTTCAACCCTCTTTATTTCTAACAAGACAGACACACATTTGCACACGGAGGTGTTTCCTCTTCTGTCCGAATGAAGAGAATTTGATCCCATAGACGCGATAAACATGGTGTAAACAGAGTACAATGCCATTCATGTGGTCATCAACATCTTTAACGCATTCTTCAATAAACATTCCCAAAAGAACTTGGCTGCAATTCATGCTTTAGAGAATATACGAATTGAAATTGTTCGATCAATTCTCTTCTGAGTATTTACAAATTAAATTTTCCAAGTAGAAATACAAAAATTAATTTGAAATATTTTCTAAACACAGCAATGTTGAGTGCGTAAATTATTCCTTGCCATGCAATACAATTAAAGAAAAAGTTCAGATAAATTTTATTTTCAGAAAATGCGCATCGTATGACTCTTTATTCAACATAACTGTAATCAAATAATGTTCAACTGATTTTTGGTTTAATAGAAACATCCGGTTACATATATTAAACTACTTGAAGTTCTCTAATCATAAGGTATGAGGTTTAGTTTTAACATCATGTAAACAAAACTTCCATTAATTGCATTAGAGCTTTCTTCGTATTGAATAGCTTATTTTCTAGCATTTGAAGTCATCAACTTGCCCTCTACTGTGCCCTAGAATTAGAATCTTGAATAATATTTCAACAGTCTACATTAGCATTCGTAGTAATCAATTTTTCACTGTAATGCGTTTTTGAAATAAAAGCCTTACTAATTTGTCCACAGTCCACAGTCGTAAATAAAATCACTTTTCTGTAAAGTGTTTCTCTTTTTGGTTAATGACAGACCAACAGTGTGAGGATAAGCAGCGTATATCTTCCGGGATGTCAACGACCACGTCGCGTAGCGCCACTGGCCGCACTCACAGCTGCACTCGCTGCCCGTCGCCTCAGAATAGTCCAGTCAAACACGTAGTCGTACTTGTAGCCTAGCGTGTAGAACAGAATGCGAAATATTTTACGCAAGTCCTTGTACGCAGGGCTGCTCTCAAAGCACAGAGCGCGGCAAGTGTTAAGGTAAATGGCAAACTCGGCTGGAAAACCCTTACACAACACTTCCACTGGAGTAGACATCTTCTTTTCACAAATCTTTTCGTATTTCTGGGTTTTGGTAGCTCCCTTTAGTCCTTGCCAAGGCAAACTACCTCGGTTTAAATACATGAGCACGTACCCCAATGACTCCATATCGTCTCTGCGGCTCTGTTCAATGCCAATGTGTGCATTGATAGATGCATACCGGGCGGTGCCGATTAGGTTCTTGTCCTCGCGATAAGCGATATGTTTTCGAGTTCGAGTATCACGGTATTTCTTGGACAGACCGTAATCAATCAGGAACAACGTATTACAATGCCTCCCAATACCTATGAGAAAGTTATCCGGCTTGATGTCTCTGTGAATGAAACTCTTGCTGTGCATATACTCAATACGCGCTATCATCTGGTCAGCCAACATCAACACTGTCTTGATTGTAAAGCGACGTGAGCAGAAATTGAACAAGTCTTCCAAGGATGGGCCCAAAAGATCTATAACCAACACATTGTACTCGTCTTCACTACCATACCATCGCATTCGTGGAAATCCAACTCCACCATTCAATACTTTGTACACTTTACTTTCATAAAGAAGTTGTGGATGTCCTGATTTGATGTTCTCTAACTTCATAGCTACTTCTTCTCCAGTTGTAATGTTGATTCCAAGATAAATATCGCCGAAGGAACCTCTACCAATTATTTGCAATAAACGGTATTTTCTTCCAACAAGAAATTCATTTACACTACCTAAAGTTTCCATTAATGTAATTTTATGTATAAATAAATAATTTAGAAAGACAATAATTACAAAATGAAATCAATAACAACTTACTAGTACTTCACAAGCTGATATCTCCCCGGTTAGAGGTTATTAGTATATATTAATACGTCTCACACAAACTTTATATTCATCTGTTCTTGTTCGAAGTTTTATCTAATGCTTTAAAAGACGATAAATGTACCTAATAATGTTGTACACAGGAGCCCATGAGTATAAAATCACTCGGAAATGTGGACTGTTTTCATTATACGATTGTCACTTTGCAAACAATAACACAAACGTATACACTCATATCATGTGCTCATTTGCATCAACAATACAGTGCAAACTTTACCACTTCGTAAAAATGATAAATAATAATAATGCGTTTACTTTTAAATATTTATTATATCAATATTTTTTTATTTATTTAAACAAACTTTTTTAATATTTGTAATTAAATGTAAATTACATAGTCAAACACAATTTCCTTTACAAATAATATAATGAGGAGAGTTATCACTTCAGCTGTGTTGCATTTATAAATATATTGACTACTTTTTCATACGGAAAGTATTGCTTCAATATTCAAGACAACTTATAAATTTGTTATAATTGCTTGATTTTTTATTAAACCACTAGCTGTCATTAATGATACAAATCATGCTTCCGTAAAGTTTCGGGATTATGATTTTTTCCCATCATCACATTACACTAACGCCCTTAGGTTGTTCATTCACAGTACATGAATAACATTCATTGTACATTAATGTTATACCGAATTATCACTTCTTACACATCCAAAAAGCTACACTTCAGGCAATGGCTCTCATATTTTCTACAATGAGGTATAAAATGATGTTTGTAAATGTAACTATTGGACATTTCTGCGTAACATATTTTTATGCATGCTTAACATACTTTTATGCACGCTCCAACTTCATCGGGGCGCAACCCTCTATTTAACAATACCTAATTTGTTTTTAATATCTCCCCAAAATAAACTTGCAATACCACCGAACAGTCTCCTATGTTTTTATAAATCTTGTACAATCCGATCAACAGTTTTAATAGAAATATAGTATTGGAAATTTGTCCCGTACAACTTAAACACATGCTTAAAGCAGTTTACCTCTTAATGATTTTAGAAATACCGCACAGGGGATGCTATATTTAATCAGTTACTACTGGTACTTTACATGGAGTGTGCTGTTTTTCTCCCAAGCGAGAGTCACCTTTAAAACAGATAATGAGAGAGCAATTGAATTCTTTGTTTGTATCCTGATTTTCAAGAAAATTAAATGTATCAGGAATGCCGTAAGTGTGTCGCTCGGTGCATTACAAATATGGCAAGCGACGGTATGAACGCTTTCCAGTATCTGTTCATAAAATTTCCTTTCCTTGAGACTTAAGTTTTATTCCTTACTTTCTATTACCCAATCAAGTTTAACTGTGTCGACGTTTAATTGTTCAAATAATTATCTGTTATATGAGACTTTTAGGAGGCACTGTCAGTCCAATGTCATCGATTCTTTTACTACTTAATGTGGATACTTTGGTTGTAGGTTTAAAGTACGTTTATTGGTCATACGTACATTTAAACTGAATTCTGGACAACGTGAAAAATCCTATTTAAATCTTTAGAACAAAATTCGGGATTATTTTCCACAATTGCAAGAAATTTGAAACATTGCAGAAAATCAACATGATACCTAAAATATCTCTTAGTCTCGACGTTTTGTCTCACATATCTGTCAATAATTCAAGCTAGTGATGAGGTATTTTTCATTAAACTAAGGGCTTAGTATGCACTACGATAGGTTTGATGGATGACATCAACTACAGTTATGAGGCTCTCAAGCGAGGCCCCTTTACTACAAACGTGAATGCAACTTTAATGCACTTAAACTTTAATGCAAAGTTAGCTGCGATCGCGATTATTGGGGGGTGCATAGCGTAAATAAACCGCTCCCAAAGACGTGATCTCGGACGTTTGGATGTCCATAATCAAGAACACCTAGTCTACGCGAAAATGTTCCTGCTCGTTAAAGTGCAATAATAAAGAACATCGTGAAATAATATTCTTGCAAACGAATGAATTTGACTCAAAGAAGAAGCCATCAGAGAGGCATTTCGATGATTTTAGAGTTCATTTTCTACATCATCTTCCAAGTTGAAATACATTCTTCTTACTACTTTCGGTGTACATCCAAATATTTTACTAGTGGAAATTGTTCGTGAATAGGGTGTGATAAACATATCAAAACTGCTGTTTACGTACTTATGTATTTGAAACATTGTTAAGTAGTAATCTCATCATTCTGATTTCGCAAACTAGACACTGCCTGATAAAAAAAATTGTTAACATTTTTGTATTTAATATCACGCCACTGCTTAGTTCCACATTGTTATAAGCGTGAAACTTTCGTGTCGACACTGGCGAGTACGTATCTATCGATCGATTATCACTTTCTTCCAATCTACGACGTATCCCAAGTAAAAAATAATTCCCTTCATTTTCGAGGGATCGTCGACTCTAAAGAGAGCTATTTCTCTCATAGGGTTTCTTCAATAAATTGTTTGGGAACTTTTAGGTACCCTTAACGCACGGAGCTTTGTAATTAAAAGGTGGCACGTGGGTCATAATTGTTTTGACGATTTTGAACAACTTCGGATCATCCTCGTTTGGTAGTTCGGCTCGAATCTCATTGTCGATTGTGCTCCATTATCCGAGAACTAAAACATTGAAGTGTGAACTAAGTTTTATCAAACAATTTGGATCCTTCTGTCGAGAAAATTTCGATATTTCTTTTTGGCTTCATGCAAAGTACTCCCTAAAAATATGTTTCAAGCTTGTAGGGCCATTCAGTTCGTTCGGACATACGGAGGGAAGGAGAGACGGACAGAGGATCAGCCGACAATCGATTTTTTGGTGTAAAGAACTCACAAAACATACTATTAGTATTTACAACGTATAGAAACACTACGCATAGAAACACTACGTATAGAAAAAGGATTTATACACTTTTTTGAAATCAGGTTTCCCAATACTACGTTTTTGCTCCAAAATCGCTAGGAATATTTCAAAATAGCGGAAGCAAAGATCGCGCACGATGCGTGGCCCGTTTGTTAGGGAACTGCGTCGGCATTCGCCTAGCGTGAATCGGATGCACCACGGAAAGCTACCGATCAGAGCAGCCGGCCGCTCGAATTCTCACCCAGACAGACCACATTCAACCTTCCTGTGCAGCTGGTGTCGACACTCCTGCCACCGCCGTCGTGAGCGGAACGCTAGGAGCTCCCGGTCAGAGGCACCGCAGTGACGTCAGTCGATGCCCTGAGCCACCTGTGCTTCGCGCCGGCCTGAGCGGCGGACGCCACGCCCTCGGGGGCGTCTGGGCGCGCGTTTTATTGCCGCCGTATTTTTGAGAGCTGCGTAAAATGTTGCGCTGCTGCGTTTGCACGCGCGGTGGAACGAGGCGCGCCCCTCCCCTCCCCTCCCCCGCCATGGCCTTACCCCCGCGCGGCTTCCCTTCAATGCGGCACTTGCGGCGTATTTACTGCGCGCAGACACAAAAAGCACACCAAGCAACAGGAAGGGGGGGCAGTTTATGGCCACAACAGCGTGCACGCATACATTTTTGGAATCCATTTTTTGGACACTTCCCGCGCTGGATTTCAATATTTCAGATGCTTCGTAAACTTAGACATACTTCCGAGAATTGATAGGAATTTAAATGTACTGTGCAAGTACATTGCGTTTAATTAAAGTTTTAAATTTAATACGAATTTACACAATACAATCGTAAGGTAAATTATAACAAATGGAATAAAGAACCAAAAAATCATTATTTTCCATCCCTTCTGTCAAAACATTCTAATTTATGTATATATTTATGGTCAAATAAACAATGCATGATGGTAAAAGAAATTCAAAATTTGATTTCACATACAATTTGATTTAGTTGTTATAACTTTATTTTATTTGCTTATACTCTCATATAAATTCTACGCGGGTTGCTGAAGGCGTGAACTGTCAAAGTTCCATAGATCCACGGAGGTAATGGCGACTTTTGTTCTTTGTAAACTCTTTAAACTCTAAAATCTTTATCCTTTGTTAAGTAAATGCTCATCGTTTTATTTTCTTGTGTACTTATTTATCTCTTGAAAATTCAAAATGAAAAGGTGAAAACATAGGAAAATGCATAAAATGGTCAATTAAGGATGGCGTTTCGAATATTATAGGAAAGGCGGAGGATAAAAGCACAACAATTTAAGTATCTTTTTTTAATGAAGAAGAAAAAGAGTGGGGGAAGAGAGAAGAGGAGGACGAGAGAAAGATGAGGAAGAGAGAAAAGAAAATATACTGAGAGAGATTCAAACGGAAAGAGTAACACAGAAATGGCAGAAAGAGGGAGAGGGAAAGAGAGAGGGGGCAGAGTGGGAAAGAGAGAGAAAGTGACTGACATTGAGAGTAAAAGAAAGTGGGAGGAAGAGTTTATCGGCAGACATCGAAAGGAATTTATGTACTAGTAAATACAAATACTATTTTTAAAAATATTTATTCAGAGAGAATTTTGCAAATGTATCCCAAGATTTTCCTCGTTTTTGAAAGTAATAATTATAGTTTAATTATATTCTGTTGTATTCACAAATTCATTACAAAGTAGTACCTTCCTTTATCCGTGCAAAGGCAACTGGCGCCTAAAGCATAATCTTATACAGTAAGTTTTCAAAAGCCTTTTTTTCTACGTAGCTAACTTAGCTAACAGACAGGTGGATGCTAGACATTCGTGGGTTCGAGTGGCTGTTAACTTGGTACAAAAGTAACAAAATTTGGTACTTGACTAAATTATGCCGGGTGCTTCAAAGTATTCTGGCAGACTGACTCCCCTACCTGCGAACACTAGAGCTGAAACCAGCCGCTTCTACCTTCCAGTTCATTCGACACCAGTATTTTCATATTGTTAATGTGATTTAACAAAAT